GATATTATCGAGAGCAGTTGCAACGCACGACTTGGTGGCAACTCCAGTCTGTAGCGGAAACAGTGGCTATGAGTGTTCTGAGGGCAGATAAGGAGGTGTTTGTTAGACAAATCTGTGAGCAGGTGACACACCATCTATGATCTAGTTATCCACGTCCTGCTTATAGAGGAATCAAAGCACTTTGCACATCTGAATCTGTTCCTCGGAGACTTACAGTCAGGACTGGTGCTGGGACGATCCTTACGAATGACACTGCAGCTGTGACCCGCTGGGCTGGCTACTTTGAGCTGTTGTTTAAAGCTGACCCTCCAGCTAGGACGTTGGACATCTCTGGGTCACGGTTCTCAAGGCTGATGCCCCAATCAGCTGTGAACCGCCCAATCTCACTGCGATTACATGTGTGGTGAATCATCTGGGGGCAGGGAAGGCCGCAGGGATCTGTGGAATCCAGGGTGAACTTCTCCAGGCTGGTGGTAAGGCTGTCCTCTGAGCATTACAGGCAATCTTTGCTTCCATTTGGGCGTCAGGCGTCATTCCTAATGACTGGAAAATGGGACTTGTAGTCCCTATCTGGAAAGGGAAGGGTGATCGCCTGGATTGCGGCGACTACTGTACAGGGGGATAACACTGCTTTCAGTGCAGGATAAGGTCCTTGCTAGGGTCATCTTTAATAGGATCCGTGAATGCTCGCTCGCCTGTGAAGTAGTCTGGTTTTATGCCTAAGAAGTCTACCACAACCGTGTCCAGGCTCTGAGGGTTCTCATCGAGTGCAAGCACGAATATTGGTTCTTTGCAGCCTTGGTTGATTTTCGTAATGCATTTGACTCAGTTGATCGAGTTCCTTGTGGGACATCCTGAGACTTCAGGGGACCCCCCCCCCCCAAAGTTGCTGGACATCATAGCCAGCCTGTACACTGGTACTGTGAGTGCTGTGCAGAGTGGAGGGAGAACCTCCGCATTCTTCCCAGTTGATTCTGGGGTTCGCCAGGGGTGTGTTCTTNGCCTGTACACTGGTACTGTGAGTGCTGTGCAGAGTGGAGGGAGAACCTCCGCATTCTTCCCAGTTGATTCTGGGGTTCGCCAGGGGTGTGTTCTTCCTTCTTCTGTGTTCAGTGCTTGTATGGACTGGGTTTTGGGCAGGGTCATGGGGTCCAGCAGCTGTGGGGCATCCGTTGGTGAAGAAGTATTTACTGATCATGATGATGCTGTGATCTTCGCAGAGTCAATGGAGGCTCTGACCGGTGCTCTCAAGAGACTGAGTGAGGAGTCTGAGTGTCTGGGATTGCAGGTATCCTGGACAAAGACCAAGATCCAGGCATTTAATGACTTCTTAGGCACAGCTGTCGGCAGGGCGAGGAAGCAGCAGCGGCGAAGCACCAGGCAGGGAATGGAGGCGGTGTAGGTGTCCCCCCCTCCCCAGGCAGGGCAAGGCGGTGCTAGCAGTGGCGTCCCCTCCAGGCAGGGCGAGGAGGTGGTGCCGGCCGCATCCCCCGGTCAGGGTGAGCATGTGGCAGCGGCATTCCCCCCCCCCCAGTCTCTGCTTCCTGCGGCGCGAGCGAACAGAGGTCTGCTCAGTATTTGGTTCAGGCGATGGGCGGAGCTCGGCAGGTACCTCAGGGACTGGCGAGAGTGGGGAGTCGGTCCCCAGGAGCTCCACACTGTTCAGTGGAGCCAGGGATTGGGCAATAGGAAAGACACCTTGATCACGGACAGCTAAGGCAAGGTAAAGCTTGGCGGCTGTTTCACCTGGGTCCATGGGGGACGGGTGGAGCCCCAATACCTCTGGATGCAGGCAGGGAACCTGGGGAGACTGGTGGAGCTTGTCAGGTAACTGAGGAGCATCAGGGTCAAGCTGCAGTGCTTCACGTCGACGAGGTAGCTCTCCACTAGCTCAAGTTCTTCCACTTCTGCTCTATACACTGCCTCTTGCAGGAAGTCCTCTACTTGCTCGATGAGCTCTTTCAGCACCAGACTACCCCTGTTCCACACTTTTCGGAGCAGGTCCTGACACTGACCCCATAGAACACACCAGGCAGGATCGGGGGACTCCACCTGGACGGGTGGAAGCTCCAGCAGGGTCTCCTCACCACCACAGGAGGCCCAGTACGGTGTCAACTCTGGAGCGGACACTGGGTCGGGAACAGGAACCACGGGAACTGTAGCTAGGATGGGAACAGGAACCACGGGATCAGGAATCGGGACTGGGACTGGAGCCACAGGATCTGGTGTCTCTGAGGCTGGGAGTAAGGGCGTAACTTTGGCTGGAACATCAGGGGGAGTTGAGGTCTCCACCCATTACAAGGGAAACATGATTATTGGGGGGGTTGTATTAGCTGGTTTTGATTTATTGGGGGGCTACAACCCCCCCACCCCCCACCCCCCGTAAATTACACCAATGGCTGGGAGGCAGGAAGCCATTGGGAGGCAAAAAATTGGGAGGGAAAAAGCATAGACTGCAACGGACCCCAGAAGGACACCCACCGTATATTCCTGTCTGCGGTCTCTCCGCTTTTTTTTCCTTCTGGCGTGCAGGAATTATAGGGGTCTGTTTATAGTCTGGCAGCACGATTGACAATGAAGGAGGAAACACACAGTCCAAGGCTACTTGCTGGATCATTACCCCAGAGATCCAGCTTCTCAGCTGGGTCAAATTCGTGAAGGAGGTGCAGATATTCGGAATAGGAAATCCATTCTAGGATCTCCCTTGACTGGTAAGCACTGGCTTGGGCCGTGGGGTGCTCCTGTACCTCAGGCTGTATGAGCCAGTAGATCACCTCATCCACCATGTCCTCAGACAGGAGAGGCATCTTTTCCTCTGAGTCCAGTCATTATGTCATGACTTGGGAAGGAGGGAGGCGAAAGCAGCAACACAATACAAAAGGGCAAAAGGTCAAAACAAGGCTGGGAGAGCAGGGGAGGAGCACAGGGTAACCAGAAGGGTAACCAGAAGGGTAACCAGAAGGGTAACCAGAAGGGTAACCAGAAGGGTAACCAGAAGGGTAACCAGAAGGGTAACCAGAAGGGTAGCGCAGGCAGCAGGATCACACATGCAACAAAACAATGACCGGACTGGGGAGCTCAGGATGACGAGGCACTATATACACCACAGATGAGGGAGCAGACGAGAGGCACCTTGGATCATCCACACTATAGCTGTAACGAGAGGCAGGGTTAAACGAGGAATAGCTGTGGCTCGTTAGCACCTCACCACGGAGAACACAGGAAAAGAAGGCATGCGGGGCGTGACATATACGATGTATATCTATATTTTTATGAAGTGCGGAAAAAAATGCAGTTGTAAGTCAAAGCAATACAAGATGTCACAAAATCACTTTAACAAAATAAAGGTTGAAGTCCACAACAAATGAATTTACAATTAACTAACAAGCCTACGATATCTGAAAGTGCTTTCAACAATGTAATGCAAATAAACTATAGGTTAAGAACACAATGCAAATATAAACAAATAATTTGAATGTAAACAAGATCTAGCTGGCCTAAGTGTTCTGGAAATGTATTTGAAATTATATGAAAATGTAGCCTACAGCAAATGGCATAGAATAAAACAAAATGTGCAAATAATGACCTGTCACTTACATGCTCTCTATTGTTTTAACAATCGGGTTAATAAGCTGTAGCCTATAACAAGTACGTTTAGGTTTTCCTTTATATCAATATTGTGCACAAATGTGCAAACAGAAGCTTGTAAAGCCAGCCTGTCTTGCTAAGTACGTAGCTCATGCTGAGGTGGTCTTATCTAAGCATTACATCCCAGCCTAAACAGTTTGATAAGTACTTCCCTACCATCCGCTATTGACTAAGTGAAAATTAATTTGATATAGTAACTTGCAATACTTGCACTGTCACTTTAAAAAGAATATTGCGCTCATCTTTTCCTAACCAAGTTCAGCTACACACAGACCACAAACAATCAAACCCTTTAATAGCCAACCGTTAACATTTTTTTTACACATCAGCAAGTGTCCATGTGCAGTTCGTATAAGTATCACACTGTCCAATGTTAAGTTTATACTAATTTCATGAACTGCTTGTGCAGCTGGGTTGACCCCGTCATAGAATGCATGCATGCGAGTGGGGGCTGCAGTTGCTAGCAGAGCAGAGCAGTGGAACCTACAGCAGTTAGTGAGGGAAAAGAAAAAAGACTTTCGAAAAACTGAAATGGAACATTGTATAAAAACTTCAAAACTTCATTTAACTTGATATAAAATACCACCTCAATCCATATCACACTCCATATCACCCTACCAAATACAGAGTTACTTAGAATTACTTAATATAAAATACTGAATATGTTGCACCATAACTAAACCTACAGTACAACTGCATTTACAAAAGTTATCAACACTAGTTATACACATTTCAGCAATGGATACAAGCTTGTTTCTGTCCAGTTTTTCATTGATATCACAGAAGTTACCTGGCAAAAAAAGTACATTCCTACTTTATAGTATTTGTGAATAAAATGATTATTTATCTGGAGAAACAAAGAATCCTTGATTATGGGCTTTATTTACTTCATCAAATAATACAGAAAGTAATTGTGGAAAAAAAGAATTTAGCTTAATTTAATAAAAAACCTATTCCTGGCTCAGTTACTGAAATACATTTTATTTAAACCACTAACATGATTATTTTCCTATGCAGGAATTACAATGTGGGATCTTGAAGACCTTAAAAAAGACTCGGATGAAAGAATTCAGCACAACACCGAATTTGATGTCATTGCATCTGATTCTGTAGAGGATAAGGCATGGGCTTTGGATGTTGATGCTTCACTAAAAGCGAGTTTCGTAGGGGGAATGATTGAAGTGGGTGGATCTGCCAAATATCTTAAGGACAAAAAGGCTTCAAAAAAACAGGCACGTGTCACCCTGAAGTATAAAACAACTACGAAGTTCATGCAGCTGTCTATGAGTCACCTTGGACAAGGAAATGTTAAACACCCATATGTGTTTGAGAAGGGAATAGCCACACACGTGGTAACAGCAGTGCTGTACGGTGCTCAGGCATTTTTTGTTTTTGATCGAGAAGTGTCAGAAAGTGAGGACCAAAAAAACATTGAGGGGAACCTGCAAGTGATGATAAAGAAAATACCATCCTTGTCAGTCGAAGGGGGGGCTTCCTTAAAGCTGTCAGACACTGACAGAGCTACTGTTGAAAAGTTGTCTTGTAAATTCTATGGGGACTTTGCTCTGAGACAGAACCCCGTTTCCTTCCAGGATGCTGTAAAAGTATACACAACACTTCCAGCTCTGCTGGGTGAAAAGGGGGAAAACGCTGTGCCAGTAAGGGTGTGGTTACTCCCCTTGGAAATCTTAGATTCTTCTGCTGCCAGAATAGTGCGTCAGATCAGTGTCAGATTAATAAATGAAACACAGAGTGTGACAGAGTACTTCAATGAAATAGAAATGCAATGCAATGATGTTATGAAACGAAAGATTGTTGCACGCTTTCCTGAAATTGGCAAAAAGGTGAAATCCTTCAAAGATATGTGTTTGGAGTACAAATCAGTGTTTCAGAGATCTTTGTCAAGCATTCTACCATCAATTCGTGGAGGTGGAACAGAGGAATGTGTGCTTGCAAACATCCTAAGAAAGAAGAAACAGTCTCCTTTCAATAGCAATAAACTTAAGAAATGGCTGGACTGCAAAGAGGAAGAAATCAACCTGCTCCAAACATACACTGACATGATGGAAGACACAAGAATTCTGGCTTCAAATAGTGAGCTTCAAAGTGAAATCTTGAAAAATAGAGATAAGAATGTAGTGTGCTTTGCTTTAACATCACTGGGTGAGGAGGAGCCGTATCTGTCCTGCTTGGCGAGTCATTTAAAGGCTCTTTCAACTGCAAAGCTAACAGAACCAACAGAGGAAGATGGGAAGGATGTCGAGCCGTGTGAGTTTTACTTCTCAGATGCTGTGTCAGAAAAAATGAAAGAACAAGCAATCCTCTTCATAGATTTTGCAAAGGCAAACAAGGAGAACAAGAAAACACACTTTATAGCTGCATCCATACCTAATGATAAGCACAAAGGGGCAAGTATTTACCTTTACAAACATGGGATTAAAAAAAGTGACCATTTTGAGCCTCCGTCAAAGCCAGAAAGACCAAATGCATCTGACGTCACTCATGACAGTGTGACAATAAAGCTGAGTCACCCCCAGTATGGATCCAGTGAAATCACACACTACCTGGTTGAATACTGTGCTAATGAGTCAGATGGTTGGCAATTTATTAAAGTACCCAAATCTAACCTAGAATGTACTGTGTCTGGGCTGCTTCCCCACACAGGCTACAGGTTCAGATACAAGGCAGTGTGTCCAGCAGGTGTCAGTCTAACCAGTGAAGCTGAGAGCATTAAAACTTTGCCCACAAGTCCTCCTGGGAAGCCAAGACAAACATATGTAGGCTTAGAGGAGATTGTAGTTTCTTGGACAAAACCTGATTCAATTGGCCATGGTGTCAACATTGAAAACTATGTTGTTGAATACAGAACTGAAACAAATGAAAATAAGGCATACTGGGAAAATAAGACTAGTAATGGTGAAGTCTTTGAAATTACTGGACTAAAGCCAGATACAGCATATTATATTAGAATTAAGTGCAACTGTGGTGAATCTGGTCAAAGCAAAGAAAGTATGACAGTCTCTGTTTCAACATTGTCAGGAACCACAACAGTATCTGAAAAGATAAATCGAAAAAGAGTGAATGTCATAGCCAAGGGGTCCCGTCTGTGTACAAGGTCCGCTTTCAGGAGACACACACAAACTTAGATGGATGCAAGAGATATGCTTTTGGCAAAGAGAACACCAGGGACCATCGAACCATTATGGTCATTGGGGCAACAGGAGCAGGAAAATCAACCCTAATAAACGGAATGATCAACTATATTTTGGGTGTTAAGTGGGAAGACGATTTCCGATTCAAATTAATTGATGAGGGTGTTTCGAAATCACAAGCAGAGAGCCAAACATCCCTTGTCACTGCCTATGAAATCAATTATCAAGATGGATATACAATAAGCTACTCCATCACTATCATTGACACCCCAGGTTTTGGTGACACAAGAGGAATAGAGAGAGACAGAGCAATCACTGAACAGATCCGAACATTTTTCACCTCTAACAGCGGAATCAGCGATATAGATGCAGTCTGCTTCGTAACTCAGGCCTCACTGGCACGACTAACACATGCACAGAAATATGTGTTTGACTCCATCCTTTCCATTTTTGGTAAAGACATAGCAGACAATCTCCAGATGCTTGTGACATTTGCAGATGGACAGAAGCCCCCAGTTCTAGAGGCCATCAAAGAGTCTGGTGTACCATGTCCCAGAACAGATAAAGGGATTCCTGTTCATTTCAAATTCAACATTTCAGCACTGTTTGCAGACAATTCTCAGTCTGTCAATATGGAAAATATTGATGATGAAAATGAGGAAGATGGTGATGACAACTTTGACAAGATGTTCTGGAGAATGGGTGTGAAGAGCATGAAGAAGTTTTTTGTTGCCTTAACAAGTATGGAAACCAAGAGCTTGGGGTTAACTAGGGAAGTCCTCAAAGAATGCAAAGAGCTGGAAACTGCAGACACAGCTCAGCTCCAAGCTGTTGGAGCAGATCTGAACAGAAAACTCAAGATCAAAGAAATAATGCAGGGGTATAAGCTGTAAAACAAATAAAGACTTTTAATTTGTAGTGGAGATGATGAAGCCAATTCAGAAAAGTATAGCAGGATCTGGCCGGTGTATCACCAACTATCAGCAGTGTTAAGTCACCCGCCACTATCCTTTTTTTATTCCTGATGATCAGAATAAGGCAGGTTGTTGGGCCAAGGATCTCCCAAGGAAACTTCAGAGTATGTCCTGGCAAATGTCTGGAAATGTCTGGAATGCACAGCCGGATCTAGAAGTGGGCAGAGGTGAGCAATACCCACCCAAATTTTTGCTCTGCCCACCCAATTGGTCAACTTTAGCCTTTGCCATCTGAATCTGCCAATCATGTTTATAAAAAATATGAAAACATATGTATAAAGTAATGTTATTTGTTACATAAATGAACTCAGGCGAAACAAAAAATGTACGTTTTCATGGCTGGCAAATCTCAAGCATCTGGCTAGACTGGAAATCTTACACCAAATCTATATTATTCCATTATAAAACCTAAAATTAGCTACATCAAAAGTGTATTTACACGGTTAAATACAAAAGCAGAGTATTTGCAATGTAAGAACTGTTACATATGTTTGCAGACATCTCGAATTGAAAATCTCATTCCAGCCATCTGGCCGAAGTTCCATGTCACGTGACAATAATGTCAAAACGTTTTTGAGTTGTACTGAATTAATTTGATTTGATAGTCAGGTATTGATTACATACAATGTTGATGCAACTAATAGGCTACTTAAATATATATCACACTAAATAGTTAGACCAGGGGTGTTAAACTCCAGTCCTGGAGGACCAGAGCCCTGCACAGTTTTTGGTTCACCCTCATTTAACACACCTGATTCAATTCCTTGTGCTAATTACCACAGAGCTCATAAGCTAAATAATTTGTGATGGAACAGGGAAAGAGTTATGCCACACAGGGCTCCGCCCCCCAGGACTGGAGTTTGACACCCCTGAGTTAGACATTATGATGTTCTGGACCTTTGCTTCAAGAAATTTTCTCTAACTGGACCTCTTTAAATTTTATTTGAATATCTCTGGTCTAGTGTGTGTGTCTGTGTGTGTGTGTGTGTGTATATATATATATATATATATATATATATATATATATATATATACACGCACCTAAAGGATTATTAGGAACACCTGTTCAATTT